AGCAACGACGCGACTACAAACGGATGAACGGCGAAAGTGCAACAAGCGTGAACCTGCTAATAGCAGTGACTATTTCCAACACAGCAGATCCATCAGCTCTGAAAAGAGGGGATGGCCCTCACTTCCAAACACTAAGCCCCAACGGTGCCCTCCGAAATCTGCAGCGCCTCATGCCTCTCATCATCAACATCAAGCAGGGAATCTGAATCTACAGTGTGCTGAGTACAAGCCCTGAAGCCCCAAGGCAGCTTGGTCAATCACCTTCACGTGCGACGCAGGCGCCACCTGCGCAGGTGGCCCGGCAGGTGCCTGGAAGGGTTTGAAAATGCTGGGCTTTGGAAAAGAACAGAGGAGTGCCTTCGGAAGTCGCGATGCGTACGGCTTCGGACTTCGAGCATATCGGGGGCACCAGAACACAAACTCACGCTACGAGGTTTTAAGGGCCTGCAGCCTTGAAAGGATGCTTTTGGTTAGGGTTTAGGGTTTAGGGTTTAGGGTTTAGGGTTTAGGGTTTAGGGTTTAGGGTTTAGGGTTTAGGGTTTAGGGTTTAGGGTTTAGGGTTTAGGGTTTAGGGTTTAGGGTTTTAGGGTTTAGGGTTTAGGGGGATCCAACACGCCCGCTTTCACAGCCTCTGGATGCTAGGTGTTGGGGTCGGGCTAATACACAAGCTGCCAAAACACCGCTCATGGGCTGTCCCACAAGCTGCCAAAGCGTCCGCCCATACTCGTCGTAAGCCTACTGATACGCCTTGGCCCCAAACAGGTGGCAAGCATGCCCCAGCTGCACACCTTGAAAATGCCACTGCAGAAATGCCTAACACCGCCACACCCCCCTAGTCAACACGTGTCAACACACAGGACACAAGGTCCCACAACGCCAAGATCCAACCCTTAAGCCGAAGCTCACAAAATAGGCAGACTTAGTGCCTCCTGTGGCAGAACGCGGTCCAGCATGTCAGCAGCCACCTCCGATGGCACATTATGTCTGAGTATGGTTTGCTGTTCGTCTTATTGCTGTTGCTTGATATTATGTTTGTTGCTCCCGCGCTGCTTCTGCTGCCGCCGCCGCCTTTGGTCTTGCTGGTGGTGGTGTTGCTCTTGTTCTTGTTCTTGCTCTTGCTCTTTGTCGCTGATACATGCACAGATGCGTTCGCTGCACAGGTCTCGCAGATCTCGCACATACAGATTGCACTTACTCGACTGAGCCTCGCGATTCTCCAGGTATACGCTCCGTTTGTTTCGGGTTATCAAGCAACATTCACCAGCAGAGGACACGAGTACTGACCGCGCCGTTTCATCAAACAAGCAACGTCCTAAACTCCATCGAAGCTCCGGCACCGCCGACACTCATTATCATGCTGGCTTTATGCAATTCTTGATCGTGACAGCTTATGCTCTCTCAAGATACGATCGAACAAAGCCCGGCGCAGGTCAAGACTACAATGCTTCGTGGTGCAACAGAAGCTGTTCGCCCTACACCTTGAGATCTTGAAATACCCAGGAGGATGTACACACCGAAGCCCTAAACCCTAAACCCTAAAATCCTAAACCCTAAACCCTAAACCCTAAACCCTAAAACCCTAAACCCTTGGACTCAAAGCTCTCAAGCCCCAATGGCATCCCCAGGCCCAATGTCACTGCGGGGGGGACGGCGAAGAAGAATTTTTGAGCAAAGTGTAATGCCATTGGTGCCACTGGGGAGGGTCCAGGGGATTAGGGTTTTTAGGGTTTAGGGTTTAGGGTTTAGGGTTTAGGGGGAGGCTTCAGGGTTCAAAGGAGTCTTGGGTTTAGGGTTTAGGGTGTAGGGGGGCTTATTGAAGCGTGGTTTTGGAATTTACCTCTGTCACTCTTACGCAGAAGTGTGGGATGTTGCTGTGGTGAATCGGGGCTCTGCAGGCTCTTCTTTTGTGGATGAGATGTGATTAGCACTTTGTAGCATCTTAGCATTCAGCGCCCGAGGTTTCGAGCCGAGAAGAGATTCGATCAACTCACAATCGATGTACGTGACGACGGACCAAACTCCCAGTCCCCGTTCGTAGACAACAGGAGCAGAGGAAACTGAGAATCGGGCAGCTTGGGTGGGAGAATCGCAAACGAGCATAGCAATTGGGATTTTCCACTTCTACTAACAGTCCTTAATAAAGGATTACGGTAGGGGTTACTACAATCCCCATGAAGGACTGTTAGTACAAGGGGGAAAGTCCTAATATAGCAACATCAAACACAAACCCTAAACCCTAACCCCTAAACGCACAAGGCGACACTGGAAATCCCTGTGGAGAGTAGCGAGCATCGTCATTTCAAATGTGGGCGCTCTACAAAACACTGGCTGATGTAGGTAGTGCTTAGGGCTTAGGATTCAGGATTAAGGGTTTAGGGTAGTGGAATGCAGAGCTTATAGATCCAGCATGCCCTCTGTACACAGCATGTTTCATGGTTCGTGAGGGGCCAGCCGGCTAGCCTCTTGCGCCAGCGAAGAAGCATCAGCAGAAGCCTCGCAGCGCATGTTGCTGGCCGATACAGCGGGTTTCGAAAGTGTTTCTCTCACGTGGTCTCTGGGTATCTAGCTTTAGCTTGTGGGGCCTGGCCTGCGGAGAGTCACCCTAAACCGTAAGCCTCTAATCAGTCTAGGACACCAACTTCCTCCCAAATTGGGATGGAGGACCCTTGAGCCTCCAAGGACTGTGGGCCCAAAGACCATGGTGTTAGGCCTATTTTGAGCCTGTTCGTTCGGGCACCTGGACTCCTTGTTTGGGGGGTCGGGGCAGCAAAACAGGCCTCTTAAGTACAGAACTCATGTGACAGAGATGTCGACAACTTCACCCTCACCGTAGCCAGCTAAAACACCCTAAACCCAACCCTAAACCCTAAACCCTAAACCCTAAACCCTAAACCCTAAACCCTCTAGCAAACAGGACTTTCGGGTCGGGGTAAACTGCCAAGACATGCTCAACCTCGGCCCGGGCCTCTTGAGCAAGTGACGAGGGTGCTGAAGCCTTGTGACATGAAGCTCTCTATTGAAGCGGCCGTGGCAAAACACAATACCTTTTTGAGCAACGGACTTTGGGGGCTGCCAAAACAATACCCTATAAACCCTAAACCCTAAACCCTAAACCCTTTTGAAGCTGGACTTGCTGACCCTAAACCCTATAAACCCTAAACCCATGGTTTGCCGAGACCTTTGAGAACTGTTTGGAGAGCTCTGGGAATTGGGGGCGCTCTTCGGTCAAACCTCGCGTCTGAATGGTGGGCTGGGGCCCGCTTCGGGTTAGCAGGGGCGTGTGACCGTGTCTGCTAAAAAACATCTTGAATGCGAGAAAGGCCCCCTGGCGCGGCCCGCGCATCATTCAATGCTCACCCTGCCTCTTAGCTCCTTGCCATGAAACCCTGAGCCCTTGCCATGAAACCCTGAGCCCTAAACCTCTGATTCCCAGAGCCTCTGGAGCACCTGAGCTGGCTGAAGCAAGCCCGGGAGAACACAGATCACTGGGCCAGGCACTGGTGAAGCCTGGCGGCATGAAGGCTTCTAAGACCGTGGGCTGAGGGGGGTTTAGGGTTTAGGGTTTAGGGTTTAGGGTTTAGGGTTACAGTTTGGCCGCTTGGCCTTACTGTAGGGCATCACCTGACTGGGCTCTACCAAGTGGACTTTTCGAGGCGGGAGGTTCCGAAAGGCCTCACCCGGTTTGGTTCGAGAGGGCTGAAGGAGATTGCGACGCGCCATTTTCAGGGGCGGATGAGGGGATGAGGGGAGAGAGAGGTCGACAGTCAAGCTGCCTTATTCTGTACCTTTGAACCATCCCAAAGCTACTTGTCTAGAGTTCTTTCCTGAGGGGTGTCCCAGGACTTGGGAGGTTCAGGTTTTTGAACGTGTCCGAACTGCTTGGCTGCGCGCGATTGGGAACCACGTATGCTTTCACCAGCTTCCACGCGAACCCACAAACGTCTAAGCTAAGGCACTATGCGACGATCCTCAGCTCGAGAAACTAAGATGAACTAAGAACTCGCGTAGAGGCCCCAGGTATAAGTCCCTTGAGCATCGCGGCGAAGAGACCCCTAATGCCCTGAGCTGCGCCGCGGCACCCCGCGCCCCCACATGTAAACTTGCCGCCCCGACATCGGCCAGGTGGTTGTCAGGATCGTTTGCCTGCAGTGGGCACTTCTGGGATGGAGAGGGTCTGGAGCGAAAGTCGCTCTTAGAGTGCGCTGCTCGAACTCAAGCCATTGAGTCTTCTGTCCTCTTGCTCCAGGTGTCAAGACATGTTAGGAATTTCAACCGGGGAAGTGCTCAGCGCCCCTGGGTCCCATGACATGCCCTCCCACGCACATGTCGCAAAATTCCTTCTGCATTCGACAAAAAAAAACGACCGGGAAACACAAGCCGCGGCCCCAGTCAAAAAAAAGGCACTCCAGATAAAGCCCCAAGGGCCTGGACACTATTTAAGTTCCCCATGCCTCCAAAAACCCTCAACCCTAAACCCTAAACCCCAAACCCTAAACCCTAAACCCTAAACCCGAGCCCCACGAGCCCCAAATCACCGAGCCAGGCGCTGCCAGAGCCTGGCAGCATCAAGGCTTCTAAGGTCGCCCTGACTTCTAGCGGTTTAGGGTCAGGGTCTAGGGTCTAGGGTCTAGGGTCTAGGGTCTAGGGTCTAGGGTCTAGGGTCTAGGGTCTAGGGTCTTGGGTCTAGGGTCTAGGGTTTAGGGTTAGGGTCTGTAGGGTTTAGGGCTTAGCAGGTTTAGGGTTCTAGCTGGCTGGGCTCTACCTAAACTCTTGAATGCCTCTGCTTCTGTGTTTTTTCAAGGCTGGAGGTTCCTAAAAAATGCATCCAAGGACGATACTCGCCATTGTTGGGCGAGCTGCCAAAAGCCAGATCTGGCAAGACCTTATCCTGCACGCTGCTTTTCCTAATACTGTATACCCTTCATCCAAACTCCAAAAAGCTACTTGGTAAATCGGTCCATCGCTGGTTGCAACCTCATATGGGTCCGAGTCCTTTCTGGTTAGATACCCTCCGCCCTGGGCCCGAAGCTCAGCCACCCGGGCTCATGCCCTCCACAAGTTAAATGTGGCCGCAGCACGTCGGTGAGATTGTCGCCACGATAGCTTGCCTGCGGAGGGGGAGGGGGGTGGGGGGGGGGCTTAGGATGTCGGGGGACGGTCACGGCATGTCACGGCCATGGCCTTTGGGAGCGCGTAGACTCCCCCACCCGCGAATTCAACCAATCGTAAGTTGTAGTGTGTCATGCCAAGTCGTTTTAAAGCAAACAAGGTTTCGGGCGCCATCCTGGAACTGTGTCAAGACATGTCTCAGAGCCCCAACAACGCAATCGCTCAGCGCCCCTTGTTCCCCAAAGTCAAAAAACTTCAAGCGATGCAAATTAACGACATGCCCTCCCACGCACATGTCGCAGATTGTTCCTTCTGCACCCGGAAACCGGACTGGAAACTCAAACTCAGGCTAAAACCTAAGGGCCCTGAACTCGCCACCTTTCCTCCGAAACCTCAGTCCTAAACCTGGACACAGACTAACCCTGAACCATTTAAGCCCCAAGCCCGTTTGAACCTGGAAGCTGCTACCAGGACGGAGGCCCACAACCCCCAAGACCTGAACCCTTGAAGACTTTTAAGCCCTTTGCAGGTTGGGGCCGTATGGGCCTGGGACTCCTCAATGGACTGCACCTTCGCTTTGCGTGACTACGGCTGGTTTGCTACGGCTTCGCTGAACGCGACATTTACGAAGGCTGCAAGGGAGCGGAACATACACTGGCTGAATCTTGCTCATGTGGGGGTTTCCGAAAACAGGGGTAGCCTTTTGGGGAGCCCCTTTAAGGGGATTCTATTCTGTTTGGGGTCTGAAAGGGTACCCCTATTTTGGGAAATACCCATGTATCACCAGCAAAAGGAGGACACATGCAAGCCACCTCTGCCGCCGCGTATGCAGCCACTGCCACTTCGTTGGTGAGCTGTGCTATCTCCTGCAACATGCACAAACGGCGGGACGAAAGTCCTACTCAAGCCGCAAGCCTCCAAACTCCGGAGCCCCTAAAGTCCCCAAAGTCCCCAAAGTCCCTAAAGCCCCTAAAGTCCCTACAGTCCCTAAAGTCCCTAAAGTCCCTAAAGTCCCTAAAGTCCCTAAAGTCTAAAGTCCCTAAAGTCCCTAAAGTCCCTAAACCCTGTGGGAACCGTTGCATTCGCGGAGCCTTTGTAGCCTTCGGGCCCTCGGGGTGAGGCTTGAGCTCGAGGGGAGAGGTAGGGGATTTTTTGGGATCCCAAAAACCGTTGAGAAAGAAAGTTGTTGGGAGTATAACTCGCTTTGATCGCCACGTCGGGTGTGTTGTTGTTCTACGGTTTCATGCCTGTGGATCCGATGCGTTCACTTTCTCCCTGCAGTCTCAGTCTATATAGTCCTATGACTGAAGAGAGGAAACAGGGCTACGCGGGCTCAAGGTTTACCCCAAAACCTGGAACTCTATGTACCCACAGTTTAGTAGTAACAACCCTTCATTTGTAGGTGCAACCCATAAACCTGTAGGTACAGAGGGGTCCCCCCAAAGAACGCATCCCTAACTTGTTCAAGGATGGCCCCGCAAGGCCTCTGAAACATATTCCTGAATATGATCCCTCTTAAACCTTGGGATGTTCCCCCCTGATACTAAGAATCCATAGTAGGGATTCTAAGAAGGGGGTTGCTGTAATCCCTATTGGGCTGTTAGTCTAAAGGGGAACATCCCAACTTGAACCCTACAAGGGAAAGTGTAAAATATCCCCAAGGGCCTGCCCTAAACCCTAAACCCTCAACCCTGAACCCGAAACTCTAAACCCGACGCCCTAAACACAAGCCCTAAGCCCTAAGCCCTAAGTCCTAAGCCCTATAAGCCCTATAAGCCCTTCGTCGTGTAGCGTGTTGATCTTGTGCCCCCTGTGCCTGGGCCTCCCTGAGGGATTCGGCAGCTTGAGCAGCAGCACCCGCCTCCGCACTTCGCCCCCCCCCCAGGCTTGCGAATTGGGGTTTAGGGTTTAGGGTTTTAGGGTTTAGGGTTTGGGGTTTAGGGTTTACGCTTCCGAAAGAATCAGGGGAGGGGTTCCAGAACCTCATCATGACGCAGGCCGTCGTTGTTGTTACCGGGACGTCGTGGGCTGTGCACGCGGCCTCCCAGGCCCGAAACCTTCCTTTTTGGACTTCGCTTGAAACCCTAAACCCTAAGCCGTTCTCTTCCTAAAACCACCTAAACCAAACGGCGCACAGTCAGGGGCTTCAGTTGTCCGAGCCCTGAGACTCAAACCCCGGCTTTCTACTGGTGGCACATCCCGTTGCCACCCTAAACTGATTCATGCAGATCCCTGTCTTCCAAAAGAATGTGTGCGTGTTTGGTCAGCCTCCTCCGCAACCAGCACACACAACAGAGTGGCAGAAGTGAATAAGTGAATCACCATATGAGCGACCGCTTTTATTACGTTGCAGGAGGTCTCTTGTGGCGGAGATAAAAACCTTATGTCATGCCTGAAACCTCGGAAAGCGATAGGCCCCCCCCAAAAGCGATACTCTGCATCTTGAATCTAGAAGTCGTTCTGCAACAATGTGGGGCTGGGTGTTATTCCAGAGCGATACTCAAAGCGATAACCCTACGATACCCATTTGGCCACCCGAAGAGCTGGGCAAAGGCCCTGGCCCAGGTTGAGGGTTCGAGGTTTAGGATACGGATTTCGTTTATAGGTCCTGAAGAAAGGAACGGGTTTAGGAATTCAAGAGTTTTCACGGTGGGGTTGCAGGTTTCGGGTCTCATATGCAGTAAAGCGATAGGTTTTCGTAGCAGCATTGAGGTAAAGTCCCATAAAGCGATAGGGCCCCCCCCAAAAGCGATACCCCATGAGTTTTTAATTAGCATTTACATAAGATTTTTTGCGGCTGCTCATATGCTTCTAGAGCCTGACCCAAGCACAACATGCTGAGCCCCGGGATCTAGAAAAGTCCGCGTGATCTCACGAGCATGAATTCGAAGCTCATGTTGACCGCTGTTCCTGCACCCAGATTCTGCATGAAACCCACCTTTGCGTGCCAGGCATTTTGTCGTTGAGACTGCAGCGCCCCGAATTCTTAGTCCCCTTCAGGATGAGGGGGCTTACGAAACTAAGGGGCCCCTGATGTCGACCCCCAATAGTAGGATTCCCTTATAGTAAGGACTCCAAAAAAAGGTACCCCCTAATTTCGGAAACTCCAGAAACCCTAAACCCTTAACCCCAAACCCCTAAACCCTATAAGCCTACACCCTCTTGCGACCTCGGCGGGGTGAACGGGCTCCAATATAGCCGACCTGAGGAGTCGACCAGGCTAAGGTTCAGGTGCCCATGTTCACCATTCTCTAAGTAGATAACAAAAATCTAAAACATTTTTTGGTAGGTATTTATATTATGAACAAATGATACAGAAATAAGACACAAATAGTGTAATGTTAGGTCTCCTACACCTCCCTCAGCTCTTTTGAGGTCAGAAGGGTCTGGAGTCTGGACTGGGCGTAGTCTCTAGCCTAAGAGCGCATCGCAGATGACAACATCCGACACCAACCTCCTGCGTCCGCTGGGCGCTGCACGTAGGGGAGGGCACCTCCGAGGGGACCTGGGTGTGGAGCGAAAGGGGCCTGAATGATTAGAATAGGGTTTTGGAGGGTTATTATGGTGTAACTATAAAGGGACCCTAAGGGAATACGATTCGTAATTCTTCCGACCCCGATATTACATGGGGATCCCTTCAGGCGCCTGCTTGTTCGAGGGGCCCCTGAGAGTCCCACATGGCCATGCGGGGTGCCGAGCACGCAGAAGGGAAAACCGCTGCCGCGGCTTGTTCATTTGCTGAAACTCTTTGTAGTGTAGCGGGCTTCACGGAACCCAGCCAGTATGATCAGCCTTAGCCTCTGCAACGCGACGAGATAACCCCCACTTAGAAACTTGGGAATGTTGGTCGCCAAGGGCATGGCAACGTCCCAAACTTCTGCCTTAAAGGGTGACAGCTTGCACCGCTGAGCCTCCGCGCCGGGGTCGGTTCAGCCGGCATTGAAGGCACCTTTGGCGGCAAGTGACAACGGGGGAACATGACGGGTTTTACGACAATCCGGGGGGGGGGGGGGGGGGTAATATGGATTCCCTTGTAATAAGGATCCCAAGAAGGTACCCCCCCCCGAATTTCGGAAGCTCCATGTCCTGGCCTGCGGCTTCATTCCTTTCCTTCAATCAATGGCTCAACCCCAATACCTCCGAACCTAGAAGCCAAACACATTTGAAACCCATGTCGGGTCGCGAGATGGTAGGACGTACTACTCCGTTGCAGAGGTCGAAAGTGCGCCATTCAAAGGGCCACAGACTCAGCTCCCCGGTACACACGCAGCGCACCTCCCCTTGAACGACCTCCGGCTTCGCTGGAGCTGCCTCTCACAAGACAAAATGGCCTCTGATCAGCTCGTGACTCGGGGATTCCCGTAACCGTCCAGACTGTTTAGGGTTTTAGGGTTTTAGGGTTTAGGGTTTAGGGTCTCCCCCAAGACAGCAGCCATCCAACAGCCATGTTGGCTCAGGGATCATGAAGCCCTCTCAGCTACACTTCCGATCAACCCTGCACCACAACGCGAATGCACGCTTGGGGCACCTCCACAGCCTCCGGCTTTGCTGGAGTGGCCTCTCGCAAGGCAAAATAAACTACGACTAAGTTTGTGCTGCAAAAGCTTCTGTGAACAGGTCCTGTTTCGCCATGATGCTATGCTGGCTCCGGATGCATGAAACCCTCCAAACTGAAAATGCACCGCAGTGTTCAAACAGCTGCAGGCTGCAAGAACAACCCTGGATTCCGAGGCCAACTCGTGCGCTTCTGCGGGCACCTCCACCTGGACGACCTCCGGCTTCGCTGGAGCTGCCTCTCGCAAGGCAAATGGCTGCGTGGTCTAAACGACGACAGTTAAGTTTGTGTTGCAAAAATTGTTGTTCATAGGCCTCAAGTTTTCGTCGACATGAC